CTGTATTCGTATATTCATTGACTTTCCCTTCTCCCGTAGGTAGAGCAGAATGGCTCGCAAATTAATCAGTTGAAAGCGGAGATCTCCGGGCTGAGAGAGCGAAACAAAATAGTGGTCGGGAAATTGGTGACATCCCGGGATCTTCTCACGGATACTTGCAGGGAGATTGTTGCTTTGGCCATGGCTAAGTCTGAGGCTGAATGAGATGCTGCTACTTATTAGGAGTATGCGGACACAACACATATAATGGCTCGAGACATATCCATGGTAGTTGAGCAGAAACTAATCCGAGCTATCGAGCATGCCAAAGCGGAGGCGAAGAGAGAGACCCTGGAGGAACTCGAGGCCAGAGGCATCGACCTGTCAGCTGATCTTAAGGAGGCCCGTGCAGTGGAGGAAAGATTGGCGCTTTTGATTGCCCCCAATAAAGGCGAAGACAATAATGATGAGGAGTAGTCTCCGAGTCACCCTTTTGCTTTATATGCTGCCCCCTGAGAATGGATAGTGTAAAGATATTTTTTTCTTTTTGTCAATGTATAAAAGGAGCTTTCATTCTGTCAGCCCTTCTCCTTGCCTTTTTGCTTTTGCATTCTGGCATCGACCCTTCGGGGCCTTCTATCTAGACAAACTGGGGCCCTGAATCTGGCCATGTCCCGTGGTTGAGTCGACAAATCCTCTCGAACCGATGTTTATAACGTTGGGGGTCTCCCGAGGTCCCGTAGTTTTCTGAGACATGTGGGAGCCGGAATGATTATCCAGTACACTCCCCTATGAGAGGATGACGTTAACGCGCCAGAATTAATTGGCCCTCTTGGGTAAGCTGGCAGTTGTCGATTTGCCTCTATATATTTACTCATCTGTCTCCTAAGTGGCGATTTTGTAGTTTTTGATATGCCTATCTCTTCTGCAGAGCCTGGCGCTTTGTGCTAGTATTTTCGCTTCCCTGTTTTAGAGAATTTTTGCCTTGATCCTCATCTTCTCCCCCCTATTCTTCCGTAGTCATGGTCGCTGCTTCGATGCCTAATCATCGGTCGGAGGGGAGTCTCTCCTGTGCTTCACATTCGGACGGTACCATCGGCTCGCCTCCGATGTCGGGAGAGCGAAGCTTGGGGTACCCTGCCTCGAGGAGGGCTATCATACTGGGGAAACCTCCCAATGTTCCGGGCCATCGAGAGCATATGTCGAGGATTATTTCATCGGTGAGGGAGGAAAACCTCGAGATGATCAGAAAAGAATGCAGCTGGGGGGAAGGCGCGATTTTGCAAGTACCTTCCCCCGAGGAGAGTCTCATGACATATGTTGAGGGATTTTTGAGTGTGTATATTCATGTTCTTGCGCCAGGTTCCCCGGATCTGGTCGTGTTTGATTTCTGTAGAAGATATCAAGTAACGTTGGCACAGGTTCATCCCTTTCTTTGGAGAATAATGCAGTCGATGAGATATTTTGCTGATAAGGCCGGGATAGAATTTACCCTCAGCCACCTCGTGAGGTTGTACCGGCCATTGCGCTACCGAGGCCTGATTGCTCTTCAGCATAGATCCACCCGAGCTCTGGTAATCAGCAGCGAGGAGGATGAGGACCGTGTATGGATGAATTGGTTCGTTCGAATCTGAACGACCGATGTTATTCCTAGAGAATTTTTTCCGTTTCCTGAGAAATGGAACTTCACACGTAAGTGCTTCATTTGAACTGCCTTTATCTCAACATGAGGTTTGCCTCGTAACAATATCTTTCTGTTTAAGCTGGCAGCTTGCTCGATTCATGATAAGCGCCGGTGGTGAGATCTATAAAAAGGGAGATGGGAGGCGAAGCATCATGGTAGGTGACTGGCGTTCTTCCCCCTAAGATATGGCTTCCTTCTCGTCGGCTTATCTGATTTATCTGCTGCAGGTGTCGAGATTCCTTTCGAGGCGAGGTCGAGTCCTCCAAGGGAGGAGGAGAGGTTGCTGGCCCTGGGTAAAGGAGTGTCGGTAAAAGGAAAGATGCTCCGGGGTGCGAGAAGGCTTGTAATGAGGCGACTTCTTCGCAGCAGTTAAGGGGGAGCGATTTGGTCGATCGACAACCTTCCGGGAGTGGTACACCGTTGGACATTGCTTCGGCCTTCGGCGAGGCTCAGCGTTTTGGCCTTATGGTGAGTTTCGACTGCTGTAAGAATGTTCTGGCCCTACGCTCCCCATTTTTTTTATCTGGCTTCCTTTCTCAAGCCTTTGATAGGCTTAAAGCCGAACTGCTTCGTTGCGAGGCTCCATTGCGGGAGGCTCAGGATAGGGAGAAATCCCTCAAGCTTCTTTGTGTGGCAAAGGAAAGCGAGCTCGTCTCTTTACGGCATGAGATGGAACAGAGCCCGGCCCGGGAGGCCCTCTTGGAGAAATAGGCACCCTTCATTTCACGTTGGCCTGCATTCCCTTTTTGTCTTGTCACCTTGATGTTTTGCTATTTCAGTTGAAGGGTAAGGCGGATGAGCTGGAACAACTCTGGGGTGAGGTTGGCAAAGCTAAACGCGAATTCACCGAGCTATAGGCGAATGTGAATGCCCATTTTGTGGCCAAAGAGAGGGCTCGGACCGGGGCTTCTGCTCTTGAGGCGCAAATCCAGACCGCACGATGGCTTGGGCGAAGATGATCACAAGACTCTCATCAGAGCTTTCGTGGGTGAAAACCGAGGTGGTAAATTTCCGAGCCGAGGTTGTGATGAACAATACCAGGGCGGGACAGAAAATGGCAGCTTATTCAAGAAGCACTGTTGCTGCTAAAGCTGAGCTAAAGAAGACCCTCGATCGTGCAAACAATAACAAGGAGTATGTGAGGTGCAGATTCCGGAGGAAAATCCTCGAGGAGATTCATGCCAGGGGTTTTGATCTCTCGTGGGAGATCGAGCAAGCCAAAGGAGAGGAGTATGATACCAAGTTCCTTCTGTCCGATGCTGAGTATGATGAGGAGGAGACCACCAGGCCATAGTTGCCGAAAAGCGGGAACGTCTATTCCCTACCTCCTTTATTGTGTATATAGCTTTCATTATATGTCGTAGGTTGAGATTGCGCTCCACCGTCAATATGTAAAAATAAGAGGGGGAACCCCGAAATTTGTATCTTCTATATTTCCTCTCGTTGGGGTTTCAATTGAGTTGATTCGACCTTGGATTAGCAGAAACCTCCGAACATGCAATGTATCCCCGATATTTATTAGGTCGACTATAGCGGCTTTCATTTTTTCCCTTAGGCTTGCATGCTTTAACCGTCTTCGGGTTCAGTCTCTGAGTCGAGATTCGACTCGAGCTTAATTTACCCTCGAGTTTTGCATTTGCATAGGCTGGCGATAGTGGCTCTTACGCCTTGGGTCAGAACGACCTTCTATATGTGTAGGCCTTAGGCATGCATAGTTAACTGTTTTGGATCCAGTGTCCGAATCGGGTTACGATTCGAGCTAATTTTAATCCTCAAGTTTTCAATTATCAAGATGGTGATAGTGGCTCTTACGCTGTTGGTCATTGAGATCTTTTAGTGTGCGGCTCGGAGGCTCATTTGGCTAGCGACAATGGCTCTTACGCTTTGGCCCGTGGGCTTTTTGTAGGCTTTATTTTCCGCTCATTAAGGTCTTTTTGAAATGATTTTGCCTGACCCGTCGTCGATTTTGGAAGAAACTCGATTTCAAGTCATTAGCGGCGATGTTCGAGCACCTCGGAAGGTTCTTAGCTCGTAGGCTGAGTAACTCGAAGCCTTGTGATTTGGAGATGACATGGTCGAATCTCATTTGCCTATTGAGAGAAGCCTGTTTTAACCGGTTCGTTCTGAAGTATATTTGAAGTAGTGGCCTGCAATTTTGTTTAGCAATGGTCGGGCGTCCTCGAGTCGCATTAATTTGGCTGGATCAGCCATTTTGGCCATAGTCATATGTGTTTGGCCGGAGCCTTTTTTCGATCCCGAGTGATAGTTTAGGCATCTACACCGAGGGTATGCCCTTTCGGGATTCTTACAAATGCGACGTATAGCCTAAACTTCGGGATTTTGAGTTTTATGCCTATTAAGGTTTTATAGTTTGTCATGCCTATTGAGGTCTTACAGTTTTATCATGCCTGCTGAGGTCTTACAGTTTGTGTTGCTATGTAGAATAGATCTGGTTATATCGAGTCTACCCGCTCGGGGTCTTACGGACTCGGGCTTTCCAGTGTAAGGCGATTGGCGACAATCTCCGAGTCATCGAGTTTGCTTAAGCTCGAAGGCTGTTATTCGTGATCTCGAAGTTATCTTGCTGGGGCTTTATGAGCCTGAAGTTCCGACCTTGGGGCCGTGCGGGTGCCAGATTATTGACGCTAAGTCTCCGAGTATTTCGGGATGCATTCGGTGGATGGGCCCTTGTCGTGAGCATGTTGAAATCCCCTTTTCTGGAATACGAGATGCCAAAATATATTCTTCATTGCTTGGCATAAATACATGTTGTTTTGTTGTTGCGAGCTCGGCCCGCGCGGGCACGGCTCCTTGGACCATTCCGTCCGGTGCATCATTTCCTATTGGGGCATCGTTCGTCATTTCCCGGAGTGGGCTGGTTGTAAAGAAAGTCCCGTGTGCTCTCTGAATCCTCCTTGGGAAGTGCATGGATGTTGCCTCGTTAAAAACCCCTGCCGGTAAAAACTTGTTCCAGGATAAAAAACCGATCAAAGGAAAAGAGTGCAACGTACGCTTTAAAGCCTCAGGATCTTCGAGCTGGAGTGTCGTTCTGATTACTTTGGTCGTGAACCTGCGCAAGAGTTATCATGAAGTAGAAGATGAAAAGAGGGATGTGCGATTATACCTTGGTGGAGATGGCGCTTCTCGAGTTCTGGAGCTTTATTCTGCGGTTGCTAAGTGGTCCTTTATTTGAATGCGTCTGGGGCGACCATCAAAAAATCATGTGGATGACGTGTTAGGGCTCATCTACTTTGTTCCTTTTGTCTATTTCTCTTTCTCGCGATTGATTTTTAGATCGTTTGCTGAGAAATTCCTGAATGTGCCCGTTATCGAGCAATCAGGCCACTTCCTCTCGGAGTTGCCTGCAATCTTCGGTTCGGTGCCCGTACGAGTTGTGAAACTCACAAATCAAATTGTAGTTACTGTGGGAAGGATCCGAATGTATTGGTCTGGGCCATCTGGCGTCTCTGATTTTGCTAATGGCGAACACGATGTCTGACACATCGATGTTGAAGCTATACTCTGATAGGCGGGGTGCCCCTGTTGGCCCTACGTACCCGTCAAAGACACCCCTATTGAGAGGTCCCCGAGGGTTCTGTCCTTGGTTTAATAATCGGCTGTTACAGGGCAGATTGCGATTTGGAGCGTTGCTCCTATCATCGGTGTATGACTGGTACCTTTCTTTATTCGATCTTGACTCCTTTTCCAAGAGCCTGCTCGAGTATACTAAGCCCAAAGGGGCTCCCAATTGGTCTTCCTCGGCCCTGATCTTTGACTGGTATCGGTTGTGGACATCTAACCAGGTTGCAGCGGGATACTCGATCAGATTCTCTTTCAGCCGCCTTGATGCCACCGAGCTTCGCTCATTAATTCCTTGAGTAAAGGCCTGCACTGCCCAGTCGTCGGAGACCGGGGGGAACTCCATTCGTTCTATCTGAAAACAAGACACGAATTCTCGCAGCATTTTGTTCTCCCTTTTCTTAATCTTGAATATGTCGGACTTCCTTGTTGCTACCTTGATGGCGCCGGCGTGCGCCCTTATGAAGGAGTCTGGTAGCATGGCGAACGAATCTACGGAGTTGGGAGCCAGGTTGTGGTACCACATTGTGGCCCCTTTCGAGAGCGTTTCTCCAAATTTCTTCAGCAGGGCTGACTCGATCTCATCGTTCTTTATGTCGTTGCCCTTCACCGCGCACGTGTAGGAGGTAACGTGTTCATTAGGGTCTATGGTACCATTGTACTTAGGGAGTTCTGGCATTCTGAACTTCTTTGTAATGGGCTTCGGGGCCGCTTCCTCGGAGAACGGCCTCTATATGAACTTTTTCGAATCCAATCCCTTGAGGATTGGGGGAACAATCGGGATCTGATCGACTCTAGAGTTGTAGGTGTCGACCTTTTTATCATTGGCTGCAATCATTTTCTCACCCGATTCAATCCTTATGGTGAGGTCCTCGAGCATCTTTACTATGGCAGGGTCGGCTATGGACCCGTTATTACTTGATCTTTCAAGCACTTGCTCGGCGGGGGGAGCTGTTTCCTGCGCTGTTGTGCTAGGAGTCTTCGAAGTTGCAACTGAGCAATGGCCAACTATTGTGCCCGCAACATTACAAAAATAACATGAAGACTAACTTCCTATTCTTCCCGGGATGGGATTTTTTGGTCTTCATGTGGGTCGTTGTGCCATATGCTTCCATTGGTGTTGGAAGTTTCATCGACTTGTTGTGCGTCCTGTGAATCCGCGTCTGCTAGAATAGGTTCGGGTGCGTTGTCGGGATTCTGTGGCGGTGCTACAGCGGCCGGGACAGCCACACCATTTTCCCTGTGGTTTTCGAGGTTGTCGTTCTCGATTCTGTTTATTGAGCCAGACATTTTGACCTCAAATCAAGAGATCTTGGACAAGAAAAAGTGTGAAAGGTAACTTGCATTTGTGCAATGAAACCAAGAAAAAAATAATCACTATTATTTTTAGCCCCACGGTGGGCGCCAAACTGTTTACCGTGAAAATGGTAGCAACAATTAAATTTGTAGATGAGATTCTAAAAAATAAGTGATCTATTTTTATGCTAGTTGTATGAGCAGATGATGCTAAGAATATGAAGTTTAATGATGAAATGCGAGCTAAAGCGAGGCAATAAGCCGAGGGGCTTACTTGCCTGGCTTCGGACTGGTCGATGAGGACCTCGAGGTCGATACCTGGGCTCGATCTTGAGCTATCGGGGGTAGTCGGGAACGGGATAACAATTAAGAGATGATTAATCAAGGCTCCATATGGCCAAGGCCAAGCAATAGATGAAGAACAAGTAAGAAAACGATAAATGCTAAAGTGGCCTCGAGCCATTGAGAGCAAGCGAGTTAGAGAGAAGAGAGAGAGATATTATTGATCTTGTGGAGAAATAGTTGGAGCAACATCAGCCCTTTACAAAGTGGAATGTATTCCCCTTATATAGGAGAGGGGATACAATATAGTACAGAGTTCATTAAATGCAAAGATACGGGGATGGGACGGATAGGCACGGCGCTATTGTTTGCTGATTCTAGCTGCTCGCTTCGGGGATCCCCCGTCCTTGGAACCTTCGTTGGGTCGCGGACAAATTCCCCATCCTCAGAATCTTTGCTGGGCCGCGGACGAACCTCGAAGGAAGGAGCTCGATCGTAATCCTGCAGCCTCGAGGTGATAATATAACTCCCCGAATGCACCTTAGCGGCGAGAAATAGACCCCTCTAATTTCACCGGATACAGATGCCACTTCTTCCCAATGTGCCAGCAATTCCCTATCCGGTAGCCATTCATCCCATGGTATTCACACCCATGGGATCAGATCTCATTGGTCTCAGGAACCGTGCCCCCTTGATGTTTCTCATGGCTGATACCAATTCCACTATACTGACGTTGAAGTTGTATTCCAATAACTTGGGGTAAGAAGGATCCGGTGACCCTGAAGTTTCTTTATTCTGCAGTGTTCTATTGTTCTTACCACAATCAGTCCTCCTGTCAATGGCAAACTTGTCCACTGTTCGGAAGCTTCTGCCACGTCTTTCAGTCCGCTCGTAGGGCAATGATAGGCCCCTCAAAGTCCCTATGTCCGTGTCGTAATCATTTTTTGATTATTCTCTATTCTTCTTTCGTCTTTTGGCCGATAATAGAAAGCCAACCTGATCATCCTCGATCCTTATTTTTGACTCGTACCGGTTGTGGACATCTGTCCAAGTTGTTGCTTGAAACGCAAGCAGGCTTTCCTTCAGTTTTTGGGAAGCGTCTGAACTTCTCAGATTCAATCCCTGGTGAATGCTTCATCTTCCCATTCATCCGAGACAGCCAGGAGTAACATTTTTTCCTTCTCGAACCGGTTAACAAATTCTCGTAGTAACTCGGACTCCCATTATGCAATCCTAAATATATCAGCCTTTCGGGCCTGTACTTTTCTGGCCCCGACATGAGCCTTGATGAAAGAGTCCGCGGGCATTTCAAAGGAATCTATGGAATGCTCGGTTAATAGTGAATACCACGTCAAGGATCCCCTCGTGAGATTTTCTCCAAATTTCTTTAGCAACACAGATTCAATTTCGTGAGTAGCTAAATCATTTCCCTTCACCGCCGTTGTGTAGGTGGTAATATGCTCTTGAGGATCTGAAGTGTCACGACCCAAACCGATGGGCCAAGACAGGAACCCGGTGCCTTACCCAACCGAGTACGAATGTAAAATATCTTTCTTATCATACCATTATAGGTAAATGAGCCATAAAGGACGTCATGAAATAACCAGAATAAAACATAAGGGAATACTAGACATAAGACGACCCAACATGATATAGAAACTTATACAGGTAATATACGAGCTAATAAGGCCGACATGATCATTTGTAAACTCAAAACATAGGTCGAAAAGTCTATACAAGTATCCATATACATGACATATGTTTACAAGCGTCTAAGATTACATAAACGTCATAAAGGTCGGGACAGAGTCCTGCCATACCAATCAATACATGTCCAAAGTATACTGACCACATAGGCAACTCTGGAGCTAGTGGAGTGCACCGACATCTTCCACTGAGCTGATAGCCTACTAGGAGAACTCTCAACCTGTCTATCAGGACCTGCGGGCATGAAACACAGTGTCCCCAGGAAAAAGGGACGTTAGTACAAATAAAGTACCGAGTATGTAAGGCATGAAAGCAGTATATAAAGACATGAAAGAGACACGGAGGAAAGAACTCAACCTGCAAGTCTGAATAACTTTGTGAATCATGAAACATTTATAATGTCATGCACATGCATATAAATGTCATATCATGAATAGGTATCTGTGTACATAACATCATCAAGCCTCTGAAGGCATCCCATCATATCATCTCAGCCTCTATGGGCAAAATCATCAACGTATACCAGCTGATCAGGTAGTGGTGTGTATAGAACGCCATAACCTTTCCCCATACCCCATATACATATACTATACGCGCATATAACATCATCTAGTCATGAGTCAATATACATGTATAAATGAATGAAATGCATAATAAACTAAGTCAATAATATCTCTCGGAATGTCATGAGACCCATGAATAGACGAAATGATAGTGGGACACCTGGGGAATCAAGAACATAGGCAACCCTAGTACTTCTAAGAATAGAATTATTTGTGAAAGTTGCATGCTTGCTCAGTTAGTTGTATTATATGGATCATCCCAAAAGGAAATAAGGTATAGTCTTAACATACCTCAAGTCATCAATGTAACTAAACAACAAGCTTATACGACAACTAGGGTGCCAACCCTATAAGAAAGAAATACATGTAAGACTTAGATGATGCTACTATGTCACGTATCTCAAACGATAACTCGACTCTAAAATAAAATGGGTAGCATTTCCCCTGATTTTACTACTCCCTCAAGCCTACTATAGGGAGAGATACAAACACAATACAATCAACAACTCAAAAATAACTCAACTACGATTCGGGACATTCAATACAACAAAAACCCCAAATATACCATAACACACCCAATTAACAAGTAATCAATTAGCCTGAAATTGGAATGTCGAGCGACTATCCTACCACTGTACAACATGTGGCATTTCTCCATGCCCTTCATCCTTTTAAACTCTATAAATAAGTGGCACAATAATCCAACACGAGTGGACTACAAAACAACCCACTAAAAGTAGAATAAATCAAACTCACGGCTTCCAATCACCGTCCCATGAGTTCTAACTATTAGGAAACGAATTGATCAACCTTTCTTGATATTCAAAAGCTTAAATACAGAAAGTAGGCATTTTATTAACTATGAAGTACCTTCTAAAACTCAAACTACAAAGAAAAAGAGAGGCAGTATAATGATACTTACGTCGTAGGGATCGTTCTAATGTTATCGCTTCTTGATTTCATGAAAGGGATGTTGATATTGCTTGGAATTTCTTCAAAAAGCCTTGGAGAGCTTGAGAGTATTTTTGTGTAAGTGTTCTGTGTATAATTATGAGATAAGGGAAAATAACACTTATAAGTCCATGGCCTCAATTCTCCAAGTAGGTGGGTAAGCTACCTGTTTGGAAGCTTGAGTAGTGCAACTTCGGACACTTGTATCTCTCTACCCCAACATTGTATTGACAAACAATTTGTAGCGTTGGAAACTAGACACATGGGAATTTAATTTCATATGAAAATCTCCGTGTAACTCTAAATTTATTGGGAGAAAACAGCCTCGCAACCTGGACTATAAACCTGCCAGTTTCTCCAAAGTTCGGCGATATGACTTGGCGACCCTATTTTAAAAATCATATTTCTCTACTCCGATGTTGTATGAATAAATGTTTTGAACCATTGGAACCTAGGTTCTAAGAACTTCATTTTTCTATGAGATATGTCCCAAAATGACATCATAAATCTTGCGAATTTAACTTCTCAAAACGGCTCGTTACAAGGCAAATCTTAACTCGATTTTTCCGTAAGTTAAATTCGATTTTCCCAAACTTTATATTTTATATACAAACATCATATACAGTCTTATTATGACTTTACAATCATTCAAAATATGATTAACTAGTCTCATATTCATTATACGTCACCATCGGATGCACTGGGTTTAACACCAAACTTGTCGACT